TTTATTGTTAATAATTAATATATGCAATAAAAAAAAGATTGATCACATATTTATGAATTCACCTGTGAATACTCACTTTTTTTATAGGTTTTTATTCGTCTAGTAATATTTTAGAATTTAAATTTATATATATTATATATTGAATATTGAATATAGAATGTAGAAATGTTTAACAGTCTTTATCATTCCAAATGTAAATTGTAATTTAGTAAAATCTGTAATAATACAAGATTAATTTATTGTTATATTTAATTATTTGATTCTATTTTTCATGATAATTTAGTGCTTAAATTACTTTATTTTTGATAATAGAGCAAATAGATGTTTCCTTAAATTCAGACGTGATATTATTTTTGTAATTAATTTATTCGTTACCAATAAGATTTTTTTGTATTGAATATCAGTATTTAAACATTTTTTTCTAATTATTTATTGTATTCCTCCATGATATCTAATATTTGACAGAGATTTAGGAAAAGTATAAGACTTTATTAATTTACAGCATGCATCTAAGTTCGATTAAAGACAAAAAACATTTTCTTAAATTTTGTTTAATGAATAGATTTTCATCTATATTAATGGATTAGCCCCAAATATTTATTTTTTATTATTACTCTGAAATCCAATTTCTGTCCAATTTTAATTATTATAGTTTTAAAATTACAAAAATTTCTAACAAAATAAAGTTATAAAATAATTGCTACTTTGATTTTAACTTACTCCTCATGTTTTGATGTGAATAAATAAAAATATTAAAACTAGTCGAATAGATAAAATGTTGAAAACTGCTAGATACATTTAATATAAATTAAATTTTAGTCTCAAATTTTTAATATTATGGAATCCGGGGCTGTTATTTAGGTTAAAATTGTATTCAATGGAATGGCAGTTCTCCATCAAATACTGCTAAATTAAAATTTTAAGGATTTTATTGAACTAGTTAAATTTAGATCAATTCTAACCTTCAACAATATATTCTATATGAAGACTTAAACTTAATTTATTTTAGTTTAAAATTTTAGTTAGGAAAAAGATTTACTTATATCTCTTTGATGATGTATAATTTTATTAATAGAATTTCAATTTAAAAATAAAAAATAAAAAAATGGTCTTATGTAACTAATTGTCAATTTTACTT